CTGCCTTGCCAGCCCGCTCAGAGATGTGTATAAGAGACAGATATATATATATATATATATATATACACCAACTGAAGAAAAGTTATATCGTCAATGTGCATCTGTTCTACTTTTCTGAAAAAATGTATATAATTTTACATAATTTATGAATAATTTAGAAGAAGCACAAAAGAGAGAAGAAAGTTTTTATTTTTAATAAACGTGCAAAGTTAATTTTTTCAAATTTGTTTACATAATTGTATACTTATTGTTCATTTATTTGTATTATCCTAAATATAAACTTATTCCACTATCGATTAAGCACCGGTATGGAACAAGAGATTATTAAGAGAGAGAGAACAAAGCTATGAGGATAGAATAGTGTTTCCTAAGCGGATCGACCATTTCGGAAGCATCTCCGTTTCGGAATTTTCCTTACGAGCGCATCGAGATTCTTGCGCTTAAATGTTCCACCGGGAAAAACCGTGGAAAGGCGAAAAACGAGAAAGAGAACCGACCACACAACTTCTCGACTGTCGCAAGAAGTGCCCTCGCGGCTCGACGCGAAACGGCGCGCATCTCTCTCGCTGCTTGCCGTCCGATTTAGGTCGTTAACGGTAAAACGCCGCGAGGAAGCCGCTCGCGAAACCGAGGCAGATCCGTTACCGATGGTGGCTCTCGATTTTGCCGGCTTAGCTCGCTGTGAGAACGACAAAAGGACTAGGTGCATCTCACAGAGAGGACTGGGTGCTATCTTAAGAAAATGATACATCGAACGGCACCGTTTTTTTTTTAATCGCTCGACATTTTAGAAATGAACTTGCAGAAAAACTAATGAAATTTAAAATTCTGGCTAATTAATTTCAGGCAGAAGAATTTTATTTAGAAATATTTGTCGACTCTTCGCAGCTATATATGTTGCATAAACAAAATGATTTTTTAAAGGCAGATATACTTGTTCTAAAAATCCGTGATTATTTGAATTATATATTGCAGTAGTACACACATCATAATCGCGCGGGTTGGATTTCGATAAGAAAAAAAAATCACTCGTTCATAGAATAAATCTGCAATACCGCAGTGACCGTGCTATATAGGCAAGAATCAACCCCTTGCCCTTCAGACTATTTCAGAGTCCGTGTTACAACGGCGGGATGCATAATAATTCGGTAATGTCGGGCTTCCGTAACACACTTTGCTGCACGTAACGCTCGCGAGTTACGTAAGCGCGGAAAAGCGTTAATCGGCGTCGATATTCCAACCGGCGGATGGTTAACGCAGCTCCACTACTTCTCTACGGCTTTTTTTCTATACGAGGCTTGTACCTCTCTCGCCATTGCGATTTGCCGTCGCGCGCACAAAGAGTCAGCAGCAGCAGCAGCAGAAAAGATTAGCGCGAGCGCGGCGGAACCCGATCCCGATCGCGATCGGGCTATCGCGAGCGCGTTTCTCGCGCGACACGTCTAATTACTCGCCTCGCTTCCGCGCGCGCCGTTCTCTCGAGGACAAGCCGCCGCCGCCGCCTTCTCGAAGGACGCGCGAAACGATCCGTTGCGCCATTGCGACATTAACGAAATTACTCGATGTCACTTCGCGACGTATATATGGTACTGCGCGGCTGCGAGGATTTTTAGAATCTCCCCCATCAAATGTCGCTTAGCGTTAAACCGTGCCCAATTGAATTTCACTTCCACATTTAGATCACAACTCTTACGCTATAAGAGCGCGAAAACAACTGCAGTAAATTGACATACGTCAAACTAGTAGTAGCCTGTTTGCAAGATATTTACGTAATGCAGTAAACGCTGAAATAAAACGCATAAAATTGTACTCTCCCCCCCCCCCCAATCTTCCGAACATTTTCAGCGTGTCACTTCGATCGGAAAACGTCTCAATTAATTCAACCGGTGGCGATTTACTTGAAGATTCTTCGGCCCGTGTGAAAAATAATATTTAGGAAGAAAGAAAAAAAACGGAATAGATGGAAGTTAAACGACATCGGTGAAAATCTAAAACGTCTGGGAGCGCGCGAAAAACGGGAGAGGAGGGAGAAACGGGGAAAATAATGTCCTGTTTCTCTCTCTTTTTTTTTCTACGAAAACACGCGAGTACTTTTCGTTCACGTGCACTACCGTATGAATGCGTAATGGAACGACCGAATGCATGCGCTATGAGGGAAATGCAAACATACATATTTCACTCGCAGCGCGCGCGTTCGTTCGTTCATTCGTTCATTCGTCCGTACCGTTCGTACCTTCACGTCTTCATATAGCATAATGCACACGGGCGACAAATACTCATTTGTCTCATAGGAAGAACCCGGCTGGGAAGTTATATATACGCTCTCCCGCTTCCGTTTCCCTTATCTCTCTTTCTTCAACGCTTCAATAATCAACTATAACAGAGATATGCGCTTGTATTTATCTATAGCTATGCGATACCGTTTATAGTGCTCCGATTTTTCACTTCGCTTCCCGTGATTCACCTCGCTTCTCGATAGAATTCTAATGAGTATATTATTTCGCTCGCGTCTGAATTTTTCATATTACTCGAATGCAGGAAGAAATATTTGCAACAGTCGTCGCGTTATTTTTTCTCTAAATTGCAAATTAAATTCAAGTAGAGTATAAATTACCATCTATTTGGAGTCGTTAATCTATGACTATGTTATAGTTTAGAAACAAATTTTAAAATTTGTTCCTACCTAGTTTTGACACGTTAACGTTGACGGTTTAATTAGCCGCTCCGAGATTTCGATTCGACAAGTTCACGACGGATCAACGGAATTTAATTAACACAATTAGGACTCTGACGTTTTCCGTTTTCAAGGCGCAAAACAGTTGAGGAGACCGCGCGTGACGACGATATCCACGTGAATTTCGCCCGAGGCTGTCGATCGAGCGTAATAAAAGGGATGTGTACACCGGTTGTAGTTATCGCTATTACGAAAAAAGAAAAAAATAATTCCCACTGACATCGCAGCCGCGTCGACAAAATACATACATCGCGTCGCTCTTCGCGACCGGCGGCGTCGTACCTCAACCGAAATAACTCCGAGCGCACTATCTTCGTCCGTGTGGTAACACGTCTCGACGAATTCGCGCTGAGACGAGACCGTAAGTGCCGGCCAAGGTGAAGCGAGAGATGATAAAGATGGAAAAAGAGAGAAACTTACACTTTGTAGAAACTGACGGGAGAGAACTTCCTGTAAGCAGCGCACACACACGTCCGGGGCTCTCTTCCCACTTCTCCTTGGGCTCCCGCGAGGTCGCCGGGGGGGGAGGGGGGGGGCGTTTACTCCTGGAACGCACAAACGCGTCGTGTCACCTTCCGCGTTTTCACGAGAGCTCGTCGTCGGGCATCACCGGCGGCCGCTCTCTCACTCCGTGGGACTTCCAACGCCGGCCGACGAAAACCGAAATGGGAACGTCGGGTCGGGTCGGATCGCGTCGCTCCGCGCCGCGCCGCGTCGTTGCGTGGTGTTGCGTTGTCGCGTTCCGTGTCGCGTCGTCCGGTCCGCTCGCGAACGGCGAGTCTGTCTCTCTTCCTCGCGCCCTCTCTCTCTCTCTCGCTCCTTCCTCCTTTATTCCCGGACACCGCTATTCCGCGAACACGATTACCATTCCCGTCCGCGTCACTCCGCTTGCTCTCCGGGGCAACCCCCCGTTACGCTGTCACGAGGCACGTCGATGAAAAAAAAACGCACCGATCTCGTAGGCCCGCACTGAGTTACGCGTCACGAAGAAGGAAGACCTTCGCGGGAGGAGGGGGAGGGGAGAGAGGGAAACCGCGCACTCCGCGCTCGAGCTCGGAGTAATACGAGCCGCGACCGGCGAATTCTCCGCGACAAACAAGAAACCGAGAGACAGAGAGAGAGACAGAGAGAGAGAGATGTTAAAAAAAAAAAAGAAACTTTAGCTCGCACTGTCTTCACATTCGCTCCTTCTTCATCACACGTAACTCCGTTGTTCTCGCGGTTTCGCTTGATGTCCCGGCGCGACACGTACGTCGCACGAACGGAGCGGATAGATCGCACACACGAGGGATAATCGATGCCTACTGTCTCTATCTCTCGTGTCTTCGCGCGTCAAGCTCCCCCTTATTTCTCTCTCTCTCTCTTTCCCTTCGCGCACTTTCGTCGAACGCGCACTGCAGTAGACAGATAACACACGGAATTATACGTACGCGCGCCCGTTGCTGCTATACAATACACGGTTCTCTCGCGGCCATTAAGTCGCGTTTACGCGTGCGAACCCCGATGGATTTTACTCGCGCTCGGCTGCCGCTTGCTACGTCGCGCTCGCGCTCGCGCTTGGTCCGCCCGAGAAAATCACCCGGAGGAGGCCGTGTGCGCGGTAACACGTCTCTCGCTCGACACGTCCGAACGTCGCGGGCGCCGATGGCGGAGTGAACCGGTGGCGCCGCCGCGCCGCGAGCACCGACCGTGGCGCCCTCGTCAACTCGCGCCGCGCCGCGGCGACGGCCGCCCACCGGCGGCGGACGGATCGCGGCTCGCGGGGCGGACGCGCGCACACGTATACGCGTATGTGTAAGTATTATCCATGAGTGCGCGCATTTGCGAGCGCGATGCTCTTCGGAGAAAGAGAGAGAGAGAGAGAGAGAGAGAGCGGAATATCACGGAACCAGAATACATATATCCACGCGCGTATATACACACACGCGCGCGCCGAAAAGCCGCGCGCGGATACGACAGCTACACTCCGCCGAATCTATAATGGATATTCGCACCGACGGACCACCTGGCCCACCGCCGTCTCTCTCTCTCTCCCTCCCCCGTTCCTACACCATCCAACGGGTGTCCACCGATGCACACACCGACGCGATCGCGGCAACGCCGTAGCGACGCTACGCGTTTCGCTTCCCTTTCCTCCCCCTCCTCCCGCCCCCTCCGACCTCGTCGTCGTCGTCGTCGTCCGTGTCGTTGTCGTCGTCGTTACACGCGCGCGATTGAAGGCGTATACATATACGCGGAGTGGTGCGCGAGGGGAACACTGCACCCCGTCGGGTTGTCACGACGTTTCGGTAAAAGTTCCCTGTCGGGGTAATATTCCGATCGGTTTCGACGTAACTCGCCCGTGCCGCCGCGCCGCGCGTCTCGTCGCGACACGATCGCGGAAATGGAGTAGGTACCGTTCAGGGGGAGAGGAAGGGTTGGCGGGAGGGAGGGGGGAGCGAGGGGAGAAAAAAATTGGTTCGCCAAGGCGCGCATTGAGTTATTTACATTTCGCATTGAAACGCGCGCGCGTGCTCCAATAAAACGAATCCATATTAGAACCGGGGAGAGTCGATTCTTTATTCAAACGTTTGGAAGTAAACACCGGTGAAAATGTATTTACAAGACTGATTAATTAAGCGTATTTACGATCGGACGTATCTCCGCATTATAAAACTCGACAAAGTACGGTAATGAACGCGATTACGGATTCCGGCCGTATATTTTCGCGATCCTAATTCCGAAATCGCTTTAGGCGCCAACGAAAAAAAAAAAACCAGCGGCGAAGCGTGTATACATGTATGTGTGTAGTACGTGCGTGTGTACGTGCGACGTACAAGTACCGACCAAACGTTCAACTATCAACGATGCGTAAATATTAATTTCGGACAGCAAGAATGTAAGATCGGCGCGTAATTAATTATAGAATGGTAACTTATGCGTACCTTGGCCATGAACGCGTACAACGAATCGCGCTTCTGTCTTTGGCGACAAAATGGTGTGACGTGCGCGAGGATCTCCGCATAGATCATCGATATCGCGACAACACGGGACAGCATACATTATAATCGCCGATCATTCGCGACGCTTAATATACTCGATATTAAGGTTAATGGTACGTAAGGAAAGCGTAAACGAATCAGCCAGTTATAGAAAAAGACAATAATGTAAGCGCTACCAAATTAAAAATGATTGATTCACTTACTTATGTGTTTCTATGTGTCACTAGCTTAAAGTCCGACGCTTCACGAGAAGACACCCACGCACACGAGATTCACTTTCCGAGACGATGTAGTAATTGCGAGAGGTACGCGGGGAGGTAAGTTAACAATTGATCCGGCGAGTCATTGCGACGCGTTCCGCGAATTGACCGCGATTCAAAATTCAACGTCACGCCACGGTTGCCGAATTTCGGTAATGATCGAGCCAACCACGTCGCAGCATTCATTGTCAGATCACTGCCTATATTAATTGCACGTATATCTAACGTGAACCGTGAGGGCACCTTGGAAGAAGAGACAGGAAAAGAAATAACGAAAATGTAAATCGATTTGAAACGAGGCTTAAAACGGATTGTTTTAATAACATGTTTTAACACACAGACATCGGAAACGATCGAGACAGAATGACACATCATTAAAAAAAAGCATAATCGATGCGGCTGATTGTAGAATGATGATGTAATGAATGTTTAGTACTGAAGACACGCCGAAACGCACGGTAGAAACAATAAAAGTCGAGACTCGTTATTGTTTGTTAATAAATATTCGGGCAAACCGCGGATATCTGGAAACGCGTTCGGGACAGCGCAGAAATACATGTGAAAAGTCCCAATTTCCAATACACGCAAATGACGTGTCTCACTTTTGTTTTTCACGCAACTATATTTTCTCGTTACCAGTCCGTACTTGCTTTTTTTTATATTTTAGTTGCAGCAGTAGTTTGTAGGGAAGATGTCAACGCGACAACGCGTCAACCTTTTATAAACCTAATTTTTGTAAAAAAGATCAGCGGTGTCTTCGATTACCATCTCGTCGGCGCTTCGGGCAAGCACAGTTTGATTTAAATACTTGCTCAATTCGGCAAGCTTTTATTACCTTTATGCACTCGTGTTTAACAAGAGAGATCGTCAGATAAGAGATAATAGAGTTTTTTTTTACATATTACGAGAAAACATATTTAACACGTACCGTACGTGTTAAATGTACGTGACGTAAGGTATATCTTGACCCTTTGGTTGCGACTGAGACAGACGGGGATCTATATCGTTGTAGCTCTACAATGGAATTCGACTAAAAAATACGCAAACGTTCTTTCGATAAAACAAATGCAGATCGAAACTAATTGAGAACATTTCTGTTTGGTAGCGACAGGCTATCGGAGACGTAGAAAAACAAAAAGCTGTTATAGTAAATATTTTGTCCCAAAAGACCGTTTAGAGAGAAGCCATTATAGTGGTGTTTCGTTTCAAAGAATATGTTAGCGGGAAGCCGTTATAGTGGCGCTCATATATAGTAGCCGAAGGGTTAAATGCACTCCGGGTGTACATACACACGAAATAACGTCTAAAGAAAACCTTGCCGACACGTGCGACGTGTAAGTACCTGTGTTAATTCACACATCGTGATGGAAAAGTGACGCAAGTCAGACAAATTAATTTAAAGGATATTTAACTTTTTTTTTTTAGCTAATGAAAGAAAATCGATTTTAAAGACTTAAAGAGTCTATTTCCGTTCGTTATCTCAAAAATACTTCATTCTTTACTTGCGGCCACTTTTCTATCAGCGCAACGATGTGTCTCGCGCGAATATCGCCGTCTGGCGATCTCGCGATTGCGCGACAACTCGATGTCATATTTCATTTCGAATTCCTCTGACCCGTATCTTATAAATTATGCAGTACGTGGTGGGGTGCGGCACGTGATAAAAACCTATTTGTCGAAGTTGCACCTATTTGTCGGCCGTGCTCAAAATATATCCACGGCGCCGAGGAAGCGCGAGTTGGGCACAAGTTGGGTACAATACCGCTTGCTGTTTAACATACATCGCGGGCGAAATTATTTCGGCTCCGAGGGTGAGAAAACGGCGGACAGGTAACTTGGAAATGACGAAGGACGAAATAGAATCTCTCCCCGGAAAGTTACTAGGTATCAGGTTCCCTCGAAGAAGCCCTTAATCGACGTCGCAATTACCGCGTGGGCAAAATCGTCGGTCCTTTTTTATCCGATTATTAGACCCGTCGCGGGACAATTCGGTCGCGTAATGATTATACAAGTTTAATCATCTGTCTTATACATCGATCGACGATATGGTCTCTATATACATTCTCTATATAGTTTCTCTATATAGACTGTTTACAACGGCGTCCTTTGAAACACATTAAATGTTAATGCCGCGCCGTGTCGCGTGCGGCAGCGGAAGTTTAAGATAAAACTTGCCACGCGCAACAACTCCTCGTGGTGATTATTTCGAAGACGCCACTTTGGCGTTGTTCAACGCACCTCGTGGCGCAGTAGATATTTTCCAGCGAACCGTAATTATTTCTGCAATTCTATTTTCGGTAATTCTTCGTTAATTACAATTATTTTCTCAGTGACCGCCCTCCCTTCCCTCTCCTTGTTTATTTCCCCCAAAATAAACATTCGAAATTACGTCGTTACGGTTAATGAGTTAAGCTACTGTGCAGTCAGATCCAAAGCTGCATTTACATAGATTTACATGACTATTGCGAGCGATTACGCGATTATTCGGGAGTGTTGGATGAGTTTTCGCTTTTCAGTTAACATCGCCGCCGCGTGTTTATGTCGCGCGTGGTAATTAAACGTAAACATTAATCGCCTTTTTTGCATCGCATTATTGCAGTTGATATCGCTCTGGCACTGCGATATCGTCTCGGCAAAGGGATGCAGACTCTATGAACGCGCTATGAAGAAGACGAAAACTATCCTTGAAATTTGCTTTGATTGTAATGCGCTGTGCGCACAACTTACGCGACGTTACTGTTTACTGTTACTTCGCTTTCGCCTCGACCTTTCCGCCGCGCGTCGTTAAAAGAATCGTAGTTACGTCTTTAACGGGTGCCTCCCTCCTTTTCTCTTCCGTTCCTTCCTCCTTTTACCTAACTTACGTAACCAACCAACGCAACCGACGCGATCGAACGTAAGCTGCGACAGTCATCGCGCTTCTGCGCTTTTCTCACGTGGACGCGACGCCTCCGCGTCGTAAAGTATCCAGAAGTTAAGAGGCTCACCTCGAGGGAGCAAATCAACCGTAAACCATATATAGATGAAAGAAACTTATAAAGAAAAATTATACCCAAATAACGTATAGAAAGCGTACGTGTGAAGTTAAGGGACCGTCTACAATTAACGTGCGCGATAAAATTTTATATAATGATGACCAATTTAATTTGTGGTATTATTAATTCAACTTTTGTGTACGATTGCGTTTCAAATCCGACAGTAATTGTAGTTTATACAATTGAAAGCCTATATTTAAAAACTCATATATAAATATTATTAACCACCAAGATCTAGCCTCGATCGTATTTGACTCTTCTTTATTTATTTGTTTTACAATAAAAATTTACAAGCACACGTTTAGCACCGTTCATAAATACATATTACACAGTCTA